GATCAGTCTACAAGTACGTACACAGCAAAAAGATTTCTGAAACTAGAGGACTCTAGCAAAAAAAGGCAGAACAAGATCCAATGGCTGGAAGCTGAAGCTACACAAATTCAAACTAGATATAAGGTGTGAATTTTTAGCAATGAGGGTAACCAGCCATTGGAACAAATTACCAAAGGATGTGATGGATTCGCCATCACTTGATGTTTTTTAAATCAAGACTGGATGACTCTTTCCAAAAGATATGATCTAGCTCAACCGTAAATTCTGGGCTTCACTGGTTGAAATGCTGGCTTGTTACGTAAGAAGTCAGACAAGATTATGATAATGGTCCTTTCTGGCTTAAATTCTGAGAAAGGTACTGTGTACTGATTTTTAGTCAGTCATTCTCCTTTTTGCTGCCCTCATCTACCCTGCAAAACTCAGCTGACTGTAGATTCATTTTAATTTCCTCGTTGTTCTTTATTTCCATATGTAAGTACGTAGCACTCCTAGTGTTGAATCCACACACATTCAGAGCCTAAAACTCTCAGATTCCTATACATGTACCTGCCGACAGCTCACACTTGCCAAAGCATGTTGCAGCCTCTCCTAGAGAAGAGGGAAGTGATTAAACGGAGTATTTGAACGCCTTCCAGTAGTGCACTCAGCAATGTGGCTACACATCTGTCACATTTGTTCTTTCACCCTCTCCCCAGAGGGAGAACAGTATGCAGTGGAGGGTCTTGTTTTGGTAAGGTAGCTATGTGTTTATATTACAGAAGGCAAGGTCAAAGAAATGGAGCAGAACATGATGAGGTTTGTGATTATCCTTAGTTCCTGGGGGGAATTTATTCCACAGTCTCAGACCACTCCTGGAGAAAACTCTTTCTCCTGCACAAAGTTTCACTCTTACTATTGAGAGTTCCATTGTGCCAGAGTGTGGTGGGGCACCTGTCCCCCCCCCCATGAGAAAAAGGGCTTGAACAGGTCTTTGAGGCTGGCAGCCAATCAACAAAGGCCTGTGGAGGGCCAATCAGGGAGGAGAAGAGAGGCAGCCAATCAGGGCTGAAATGGGCCCTATATAAAGGCTGCCTAGCAAAGAGCAGGGAGTCTCTTCCTGACTAGCAAGGGAGGAGGACTGGCTGCTGAGCTAGGGAGCGAGCACCTTAGACAGAGCAGTGCTGGGCAGACTCAGGTGGGGAGCAGAGGAGAACTCCGGCCCAGTTACCTGCCGGGCTGTGGCCCCTGTTAACAAGGGCTGAGAAGGTGCAAGAGGTCAAAGGGGAAATGGCCCAGGGATGACAGTCTGACAAGGGAAGAGAAGGAGAGCAGAGAGGCTGCCGCTAGAGGGTCCCTGGGTTGGGACCCAGAGTAGTGGGTGGGCCTGGGTCCCCCCCCTTCCCCTTTGTACTGCACTGGGCTATGGAGGAGTGTGGCCTGATACAGGCTGTGGCCGGCCCTTGAGGCAAAGGGGCTAGACTTTGGGGCTGCAGTTGGCCATGAGGATAGGTGCAGATGGAAGACTGCTGATAACGCCCCACCACCACCGAAGGGGGTGAGACTGGAGTAGTGGGCACTGCCGGAGGGCAGTGTCCTGAAGTGGATGCTGCCAAGCAGAGAGCATTGCGGGACCCCAAGGCAGCAGAGCAGACGATGGGCAAGACACCATGCGCAGAGGGTGCTCCATGACTGGATAGAGCTAATTCCTGGAGCAACCAGCGGGAGGTGCCAGCGCTGGTGAGTCTTGACCCCGTCACACAGAGGAACTGAGTTGTTGACAGGGTCTTCATCCCAGAGCTTTAGACAGTGTTTTAGACACACTGGACCCAGGCCACAGAGCTTTGAAGATAAGGACCAAGACATTGAACTTTATAGAAATTCTTTGGGAAGCAGTGTAGGGAATGGAGGACAAGTCTGATATGTTCACAGTAGCCTGTGTTGCTGAGGAGATGTGCTGCAGCATTCTAAACTAGTTAGCTTCTTAAGTGCTGAAGACTTCATTTGCAGGTATACTGCATTGTTGTAATCCAGTCAAGAGGTGAAGACAACATGAATAACTGAGGCCAGGACTTTGTTTGCCAGGGTGGGACAGAGTTGCTGGTCAAATGGAGATGGTAGAAAGTGTTGCTAGTGAATGCTGCCATGTGAGAGTTCAGCATTAGTGAGGAATCCAAGAGTTCTCTTAGACTATGGACTGAATTGATCAATTGTGGGCGTGTATCTTCAACCAATGGAGATTTCACTATGGCTGCAAGCTCTTAAAAAGTACTTCCCTTTGCCCACCAGCATCAGCTCTGCCTTGCTCAGATGCAAGCCCCTAGTGCAGTCAGTGCACCAGAGTAAACAGCAATTTGCACCAGTGCAGCATAATCCAGTTTGAAAGCAGGCTAGGCTGCACCAGTCCCTAGCACAGGTTTCATCAGTGCGGCACATAGGGGTTTGTACCAGTGCAGCTACATTCATGGCCAAAAACTCAATGCAGACAAGACCCTCCTGTCCTGGCTTTGTAAATCACGGAGTACATTTATGGGGCCCATATAGAACCTAGGCTGGAAGTTCCTGGGGCAGCAATCTTGTCTTTTGTCTCTAAACAGCTGTACATTTATGGTGGTGTATAAATAATAGAACAGAATTTCAGCATAGCAAACAGGCTTCCACCTCCTCTCCCCATCTCTCCATTCTAGGGAGCAGAGCTCTTGGAAAGGACTCTTCCAAGTGGCTTGCTAGAGGCAGTGAACTGACAGTAAAGCATTAATCTGGCTTAGAAAGCCTACCTGATGTTCAAGGAAAGAATGTTCGTGCCTAATACATTACAGACCTAGATCAAGAAAAGCTCCTCTGTATCTCAACTTTACTCTTGAAATAACTTTCCATCTCTCACTCACTCAATACTTAGGAAAAGAATTTGGATTTGAGTCCTCATCCAACGCCTCTGTGGTTAACCTCTGTCAAGCTATGTTATTTCACATTCTGTTTAAGGTGTCTGCCTTCACTAGAGAAATCCAAGTACTGGCTGCACATAGTAACAGACAGACAAGTTCTGTGATGTATTAAGCAGAGAGCAGCAAGTAGTTCAGAGACAATTGTCATAGGAAATTAGTATCAGGACCAATTTTATTGCTCTTCTAAAAATAGGCACTCCCTTTGTATGCACACTGAACTATTCTCAGGAGGGCAGTTACAGTATATTTAGTATACTACTAACTATTCAGTTACAGTAGGAGCTCATGCTGGGATACTGACAAATACAGCAGAGTTCTGTTTCCCACAGCATAAGACTCATCATCATGGACCACCCACAGTTAAAAGTTAAGTGAAAAGTAAAGCTGATTCAAGACCCCTGAAAGAGGAAGCATGTGTGGAGTAAACAAAAGGATTGCTTTGCTCACTGCCTCAGCTTCTCTCTAATGTCCTGTATTTATGCACTCAATAGTAGGTACAGAATTGTGCACAGAGAATCACATAAGGATCATTTTGGTCTCCTGATTTGCAATTGGAAGAAGGGAACTGAACAACAAAACTCTGAGTGATGTCATTTACAGACTCACTGTGTGTAAACAGTAAATCACATGACAGTTGTGATCATTCTGCAGGACAAGTCATATTTTTACACTTCAGCTTCCAGACAGTCAAGAAAGCATGTCTGCTGTACCTTATCTCCTCAGCAGTGATTTAGGAATGGTTATTCTGGGATATATAATTGTCTGTTTCTGCCCATATTGATAATGGAAGGAAAAATGGAAACTCCATTTACTGCTATCGATTGCTTTGCTAAGGAATCTGATGTACAAGCAAACTGCAAAATATAACCAAACTCTCCTCCTCCTCAGACATCTGCGTGACCTGTTAGTCACACTATCTGACTTCCTGAAGAAACCAAAGTCGCTTTTGGCATCTGCAAATCATGAGCTTTCCAAGAGCTGTCCCCCCTCCCCGCCCCCAACCAGTTCAGCAGGCCAAAAGGGTTCTAGATGGACAACCAGAAAGATAAACTGGTTTCATTATAAGAATGATAGGTTTAGAAGCTTTATTTAATGAGATTAGAATAATAGTCCAGACTGAATTTCACAGAATTTTCAAAAAAGTATTTTATCAGAAGACTATTTATTTTATTTTTTGGCGTAGGTTTTGCAGACATCTAGCCACTGATAGGGACAGAGTTCTCAAATAGCCAAGGTATTTCCATCTGAGTGGACATCTCAGAGAATCCACATCCTCTGAATCGGTGCAATGCTGCCATCTCCCAGTTACACAAAAGGAGCAGCAGAGGCATACTTTAGTGCAGGACAGTAACTACATCTGCAGGCTTCAAGAATTCCCTACAAAACATCCATAATCTCCACTGGTCCAGTTGTAGAGAACTCTGCAGCATGGAAAGCAACTATTTTATTCCCACAGTGGTCTCCTTGGGATACTTGAGTATTACTCTCCTAGCCACACATGCCAGGGGAGATCTAGTCAGGGAATGACTGGGTGATCTGGAATGTGTAAGACGCTGTGACACTTCCCTGGGCCATCTTTTCTCCACAAGTATGAAACCCGGTGAACGCTAAATTCCTGTGATGCCACTGTATTTTCAAATGCTTTTAAAAACCATTACTTACAGATCTCTGGAAATGCTAACAGGCCTGTAACGACACCATGCACACACCAGGGCCTCTGCTTTGAGCTTGTTTTCAGGCTATGCAAATTCAATTTTGTGTTCTCAAGAGTGAGACACTCTCAGAACCACACAAGACAACTGGTGGGCAGTCAGACCTGAGAATGCACTACTCATCAGAGGGTCTCAGAGCCTTTATGTACATCCAGAGCTTATTAACAAAATATTCTTAGGGCACTAATTAAAAACCTGGCCAACAGCTAGTGTCAGACACCAACAAGCACTGGTGAAGAGGTCACCACGGGAATAAGAGCCAGAAATTTAATCTTCCAAGATGCACCCTCACCCCACCCTCCCTACAGTGCTAATGCAGAGATTAATTGCAAAGGGGGAATGAGAAGGGAGGTTACATTCTCCCTACCTTGCAAACATGCGGAGATCCTCTGGATTCTGTGCAGCAGGGACATTGAAGATAGCTTCCCGCTCATGTTCAGATAAGCTCGCTAGTAGGTTCTCGGTCATCCGTTTATTCAATGGGGAGTCACCACCAGGTATCAGCTCAGCACTGGAATTATCCATACTAGGGCTTGTGAGAGTCATATCATCACTACTGGCTGTAAAATCGGAAATAATATGATGCTGTGAAGAGTGCAAACTAGCAGGTTCCTTCCAAGCAAACCCATCAGCTCAGTATAGGAAAGAAAGGGGGCCTGGAAACATGACATGGGAACTGCCTGCAAGCAATTAGATGAGGACAGGGAATTTGGTTCTCTTGGCAGAATTTGTTGGGTTTGTAGACAAGTAATGGGTAATTTGGGGCAACATACAAAATATTATTGGGACATAAGGATTTTCTTGAAAATGGGGACTGCACAGATATCTGTACATTTCCTAGGGTGGGTGGACTCCTTGGAAGTGCATCCAAGGCATGCTGCCTAGGAGGTAAGTTTCAGTTTCTGGGAATAATGGTATGCTCTAAAGGGGGATATGAGAGAAGTCTACAAACCCATGAATGATGTGGAGAAAGTGATAGGAAAGTATTATTTACTCCTTCACACAACACAAGAACCAGAGGTCACGTGATAAAATTAGCAGGCAGCAGTTTTAAAACAAATGTAAGGAAATTCTTCACACAACATACAGTCAACCTATGGAACTTGTTGCCTGGGGATATTGTGAAGACCAAAAGTGTAATTGGGCTTAAAAAAAATAAAAATAAAGAGAAGTTCACGGAGGAATGGCTATTAGCCAAGATGGTCAGGGACGTAACCCCAAGCTGCAGGTATCCCTGCACCTCTGGCTGACAAAAGCTGGGACTAGATGACAGGGGATGGATCAATCTATAATTGCCCTGTTCTGTTCATTCCTCTGAAGCACCTAGCACTCCCCACTGTCAGAAAACAGGATACTAGGCTAGATGGACCATTGGTCTGACCCAGTAGAGCCATTCTTACCATCTGATATGACTGGGAGAGTGATTAAATACAGAACCAGAAACAACATATCTAATGAGCTTTATAAACTGGTGATGCATAGCAAAGAAGATGAAACCGCAACATGGGGAGGAGTGGGAAATAAATATATGAGACTACAAATAATAAACAGTGCAGGCACTGGCATTGGGAAGTTACAAATGGGAACTGCTGGGACAGAGTTTGCATTCCTTCTTTAGCACTGGGAAAACCTCAGAGCTAGTGCCTCATGCCCCCATTTTCCTCTATTGGCCAGGCTTCCAGGCCCCAGACTAAGCCTCCCATGATCATGATGCAGAGATCAGTCCATAAGGAGATTTGGGGACATGAGGTATGCGAACTACTCATGGGGCACTGTGATGGCTCAGGCAGACACAGAGATTAATGTCAAACAGAGCTGAAACATTTTGTTTTGATTTTCCCCGGTGGAAAATAGAAACAAACATTTCTCCTGTGGAAAATTCAACTCTGGAAAAACCACCTTTTCCCTGAAAAACTTGGGTAGAAAATGCCCAGACAGCTCTAGTTTAAACAACACGAAGTGGCAATGAGAAAAGTAGAGCAGTTGGGAGGGTAGGTAGAAGAGAATGTAAAGAAGCTATGCTGCAATCACAGAACTATCTGCTGGGAGGAGTTATAAATACAACAGTTCTATATGACTGTCCTTAAAGATACCTAGCAAAGGAAAGAAAAATTGTGAGTTTATCCATCATTATAAAGGGGAAAAAAGGGGTCAAAGGCGGCCTCAAAACTTCCTCCTACCCCCACAGTAAAAATTCACTTGTAGCCTCTTGTTTTTCCCAGATGGCTATTGACAACTGGAGAACCAGGATAATGGCATTAAACAAGCCATGTAAGTGAAACCTAAGAAACTATATTAATTCAGACTGTTTAAATATCTGCTTTGTGTTAAGTTTAACACCTATTTAACTCCAACACTTGAGGAAAGTCCTTTTTGATAAGATCCATTATCCCTACCCAGAGAAAGCTATAACACAATCCAATGGCTGGAAGCTGAAGCTAGACAAATTCAGACGGGAAAGAACACCATTTTTTTTTACGGTGAGAATATTTAACCATTGGAACATTTTATCAGGGGTTGTGGTAGATTCTCCATCACTGACAATTTTAAAATAAAGAGGGGATGTTTTTCTAAACGATCTGCTCTGGTAATTATTTTAGAGAAGCTCTATGACCAGTGTGATACAGGAGGTCAGACTAGATAATCACAAATGGTCCCATCTGCCCAAAGAATCTATGAAACCCCTTCAGCTGAGAGCCAGTCCATACTAAATGTCAAAGACAGACCAGACATTCCTGGTATTTAAAAGGTTAAAAAAAAAACAAACCCTTTAAAGATCCCTTCCATCCAGATCTTCTTTACACAGCACAGAGATAAAATGGGGGCAAATACCCATTCTTTTAATTTGCAAGTTACCTTTAAGCAGGTAAATAAAAAGGCACTAAGCAATCACAAAAGATTTACGAACTAAAGGACTCAAAATTTATCAATTAAACCTCAAAGCATCAGGTTAAAAGGACAGTTATGAGTCCCATTTAAAATTACTGAACAAGGAAATGAAAAACTAAACCCCGTTGCCCCCTTTAGCTCTTCTGGCTAGGCCTAGGTATGACAGTGAACCCACAGCATGCATTGTGCAGAGACCCAATGTGAAGAGTGAATATCTGAGTTTGACCTTAATTTGCTGTCAGCCATTTGGTCTTACTTTAACTAGCTTTTGTAGTTTAATTCCCTTTGGTTTTATGGATTTCTATTATTACAAAACCCCTTACCCTGGCTGAGTTCTCAACTGAAGAGTGGAGACACTGTCAAGAGAAGGCATGGCCGCTTTGGAGCAAACATATATGAGATTCCACAAACTGGTGCACTAGATGCTGAGAGCAAATATGCGGGGGCTCTGCGACAAAGGTAACACAATACAAGGCTCCCTCACCAAGACCTTACTACTGACATTCACTCTCCCAAAAAAACAGAACTTGGCATGTGTGCACACACACTCCTTGGTATTTTACTCAATGCAACATAGCCTGACTGAAGCTAATTTTGAGAATGAGCTATTTCTTGTGGGTCTATCATGCATCCCTGTTAGAACTGGATGCTCTGCCACAGCATTAAGCCGAATAGAATGAACCAAGTTCAGGCTTATTTTACCAATAGGAAAGGTTTCCTGGACAGGTTTAGTCTCATGAGCCAACAACAATTTTTAGGCTCCAAGACCTCAGCTCTAATTCATTTTCCTTAGAGAAATAATGTCCTGCAGAATGCCCCATAATTAACAACCATGCTTCTGGGAATACCGCAGGACACAGACAGCTGAACAGACACACATCAGTTTCCTTGACAAGGTTTTTGAGCAATTTAGGACTTCAGCACCACATTTTGGCTTTGGTTAGAACACTGTCCCAGAGCTGACCTCAAAGCATGGCAATGGGAGGAGCTCGGGGAGTCAAGCGAGAAGAAAGCGAAATTGTAAACATTTGTCAGCCACAGTATCCGTGTGGGTTTCCTTAAAGACATCAACTATAACCCAAGGATTCCACTGCTGTTTGGAGCATGTTTTCTCGCAAGCACTTTGTTTAAAACTCCCTCATTCTGTTTCTGATTATGGACATCCATGGAGATACCAGCTGTCTATCTGGAAGAACACCTGGGTCACTTAGGAAGGATGCCTAAAAGGACTTCTTGACAGAATTAATGGAAAGAGACGGTCAGGACTAAGCAGATAGGAAGAGGCTGATCAAGAACTGGGTGACTAGAATGGCCTGCAGGCATTTGATAAGAGAGCTTTAATGGCCGCCAAGAAGTTCGCCAATTCTTGGTTCTCCAGCCCAGGGCTGACCTTGATCAGCTAACACACTGTTAAATATGACTTGCCCTACCTAGACTTACTGCAAAGTCTGTTTAAAATCATGTTAGCTAAGGCACATTGACTATCACATTATAAAACACTACCTACTCTCCTACTCTAGATAGGGCCTATGATAATCTCTAAAGGCAAATACAGACTTGTTTACAGTGGGAAAAGGAAGTGTATTCATACTTGGGGAGCCGAAGCTGAGAGCATTGGGAGTGCTTAGACTTCTGCCTCCAACTCTGGCAGTGAAGGGCATGTCTTCATCTTGAGCTCGGAAATCCTCTTCATTCGGGGGCACCATCAAACAGACATATGTGTGGAGCTGGATGAGAAGGCGATGCTGGAGCATCCATATCACCATCTGTATAAGCTGAGTCTGCAAAACAAAAGCTAGCATTTCAGGCAAGCACTCAGAGTACAGTACAGTTCAAAAGCAAGAGGGAGATAATGCACAAGGTACTCTAAGGCCCTGTGGGGATGCACACTAAAGAATTGCTCAAACAGAGGCAGGGTCTCTCCTTAGCAATTGGTTGAGCACTTGAAAACTTGCCCTGGGTTCTTGTAACCCTATTCCAATGCATTTTGTTGCACATCGCCAATAAAACAGAGTCTATGCCTTTTTCCAGACCACTAAGTTAGTATGTTTGTCCAGAAACCAAATATTCATGATATGTAAGGCAAACTAAGCAGCGTTACTGAACTGTTGCTGACCTTGAGACTCTGACAGACTCAGACTTGTCTACACACGTTTAGTTAATGACAAGCTGGGGTATAAGTCTGTGGCGCACTAGCCTGCCATGCACTAAGGGCCTGACTACATGCTATGTTAGTTTGGATCAGAGGGGTGTAAATTCTAATGCACATGAGCATGTTGCACACTAACTGGCCTATGTGGACCCTGCTAGTGCGCATTAAAGTTTCCTAGTGTACATTAATGTAGTCCTATTTCAAACAGTACTGCATTAACATGCCCTAAGGAAAGAGAGGTTATTTACCAGCACAATAACGCATTCTTCGAGCTGTTTTGTTATGATGGGTGCTCCACTGTATGATGTGCACATACCTATGCACTCTTGAGCGAAGATTTTAGTCAGCAGTGCCCATGGATCTGTGCCTATGCACCATACATCCTTGTGCTCCAGTGTGAGGGTACACAGGGAGATGTAGACCTGCTGCCACTCCAGTTCCTTCTCAACTATGTAGCCCAGAAGACTCTGCAGCAGAGTGGAAGGCAGGTGGGAGGCGAAGCACTCATAGGGACAATTCATCTCAAAGTACTCAAGTTACTGTATAGGTAAGTAACTTCTCCTTTTCAAGTTATTGTCCCTCGGGGTGCTCCACTCCCAAGCAGTAACAACATGGAGGTGGGAGCTGAGGAGGCAGATCCAGCACAGTTCTGAGGCTAGCATGACCAAAGGGCATATCTGGAAGCAACTAAGATAGCACAGTGCCTGGCAATCGCTTGGTTGTAGAACCAGGTTGCTGCTGCAGATGTCCACAATGTGAGTATGAATTTAAGGGCTAAAGAGGTGAAACAGGCCCTGGTGGAATGGGCAGTAATTCAAGGTCGGGGATACACTCCAGCAGCTTTGCAACAAGCTCGAGTGCACCCAAAAACCCACTTCAGTAGTCTGAGTGGAAACTGGCCGTTCCTTCATTCTCTTGGCAAAGGAGATAAAAAGCCTGTTGGAAACCCTGGAAGGTCTTATTCTGTTGAGGTGAAAGGCATGGGCCCTTCTCACATCCAGAGAATGGAGGACAGCCTCCTCCCTCGAGGAATGAAGTTTGGGGGTAAAATACCGGTAGACTAATATACTGATTGATATGGAATTCTGAAGAGACCGGGAGGCAGGGAATGAGGATAGGGGCATAAGGTCACCTTCTCATGGTAAAAGGTAGTGTAGTGTAAAGAGAGATCGCCCCTAGCTCTCCTACCTTTCTGGCTGAGGTTATGGCTAAACTGGAATAAAGTCTTGAAGGACAGGTGGAGAAGCAAGCAGTTACCCATGGGTTCAAACAGAGTTCTTTAAAGCACTGAGAACCAGATGAAGATCCTAGGGTGGCATGGAGTCCTTGACATGAGGAAATAGATACAACAAACCCTTGAGGAACCTGACTATGGTAGGGTAAGCAAAGACCATAAATCCTTCCACTGGTGGAAGAAAGGTTGTAATTGCTGCCCAGTGAACCCTAATGGAGCTCAGTGACAACCTTGTGTTTTTAAATCTAAAAGTTAATGAACATCATCCATGAGGAGAAATTCAGAGGCAGATACAGATCAATGAGTACACCAGACGTGCAAACACCTCCACTTCTGCAGTTTTCTCATGGCAGGTTTCCTGCTGTTCAAGAGTACAGACTGAACTCCAGGAGAGCTGCCCAATTCTTTGTCCAGGAACCATCAAGGAGCCAGGCCTTGACATGCAGAGATGAGAGACTGGGATGGGTTATGCCCAAGTCCAGTGTCAGGAGATCCACTGTGAGAGGAAGGCCTACAGGAGTTAGTAGGGAGAGGTGAAGCAGACCCAGGAACCACACCACTTGCCTCAGCCACAAAGGCACTACAAGAGCATCCCCTATGGAGTAGCAACCATATGCCTTCCTCAAGAAGTAGTGTTGGCACTTTGCATTGGATGGTGTTGCAAAGAGATCCACTTGCAGAAGGCCCCAGGACTGGTAAATACTCTGAAAGACTGAGTTGCTGAGTTCCCACTCATGGTCCTGGTGGAAGTGCCTGCTCAGGAAATCCGTTGCAGTGTTTTGCAGGCCTGGCAAGTAGACCGCAGAGGTGTGTATGAGATGGGATATGTACCAGCTCCACAGTTTCAGTGGTTCTGTACATAAGGACTGGGATCTTGCTTCCACTTAACCATTTATCTAGTACATTACCGCTCTGTTGTCCAACATTACCTTGACTGAGAGGCCCTTGATATTGCGAAGGAAGTACTGGCATGTGAGGCAAACTGCCCTGAGTTCAAGAATGTTGATGTGGAGGGATGTTCCTGGGGGAGACCATTTGCCTTGGGCCCTGGAGATGGGCCTCCCTGCTAGCCAGCAGGGGTGGATTCAAAAACAGAACTTTCACACAGACCTTGAGAGGATCCTTCCACCAGCTGAGGGAGTCGAAAACTCTCGGAGGTACACTTTAGATTATGGGCGCTGCTGCAGGGTGGATATGAGACTGTGGTGAACCTGTTCACAGGTACGTCATTGTGGCAAACCTGTCTGCAAGTAGGTAGCCCTGACAGTTGAGGACTCCAGAGTGACTCTGATAAAGTCTATGCGGTGTACCAGAGTTAGGGTAGACACGTCCATGTTCAGAGGAAGGCCCAGGGAATGAAACAAGGCCTTGTTAGATACTGACTGGACCTCCAGGAAGGAGTGACCCTTAAGGAGCCAATCGTCCAGATAGGGGGAAAACTTATTCTCTGACACAAGTGAGAATAGAGAGGAGCTTTGTAAAGACTCTTGGGGCAGTTGAAAAACCAAAAGGGAAGAACATGGTGTAAGTAATGGCTCTCTGCTGACGATGAACCACAGGCCTGGACCCGCAGGCACTGCTGACTATAATCTCTGATGGAGAGCGCAATGGTGTGGGCACATCCTGTGGTGCAGCACCCATAGGGACAATAACTTGAACTTTCAGTTAGCAACATACTGGTGTGCATTAGAAATTTACACCCCCCCTGGTGTGGACTAGAGCTTGTCTACACAGTGCACTAAGGGTCTAGCTGGACCCAGTTGCTGTGGCCTACAAGTTCCCTTGTACACTTTGATCTATCCCTCTTTGAAACCGATGTATAGCAAAGTGCACTAGTGTGTGGCAGCAGGGTCCACACAGATGTTTAGTACATAGCAGGCTAGTGTGAGGTAGATTTACACCCCAGCTTGCAACAAACTAAGCTTTTGTGTAGACAAGCTGACCCCTAAGATGAACTTGTCCCTATTCCAAATGTGACAGCAGGCAAAGAATTCCCACAGCTCCAAAACAGATTGAGGCATTCCAGCAAGGAAATCCCTGCATTCCCCATGCTGCGGTCACAGCAACCCTAGCATGTACTGCAGTCCAGGCCCTTCCAGCAAAAAGGAGAAAACTATACACACTTCTGAACAGAGAGTTAATAAAATAGGGTTGCATCACCCTTAACTCCAAGGGATAAAATAAATCTCAAACAAACAGTCTTGGAGGCCTCAGCATAATGCCACCAATCCTGAGATCAATTAAACAACTAACATTCTGTTTCCTGTGCAAATGCCGACAAGAAAGAGTTACTACGGAAAGGAGATTAATTTGACCAAAGTACTCAGATTTTGGCCCAAACTTTCTTGGAAAGCCACTGAGGACCAGTACCATTTGCAATCAGAAAGTATCAGACTGTGGTAGGTGCTAGAGGGGTGGGGCTAGAGATCAGGACTCAATGCCCTTCTAGACTCAACAATGCAGATCTATTGCTAGAAGCAGGTGAATACTGACTAGGAATAAGGAAATGGCATTACTTCTGTACATGGCATTGATGCAACCATTACTGGATACTGTGTCCAGTTCTGGTGTCCACACTGGAAAAGGGATATTGACAATATGGAGAGGGTTCAGAAAACGATTTGAGGTCTAGAAAACGTGCCTGGCATTGAGACTTAAGAATCTCAATCTATTTGGCATATCTAAGAGATAAATTTAAACGGTGGGAGTAATTAAGCGACCTAGAAACAATTTACCTTGAGAGCTGGTGAGTACTCCATCACTTTTGAAAACAATCATCCCATCGACTTAAATATACCAGAAGTTATGGGCCTGATGCAGTAATTTCCAGGTGAAAATTTATGGCCTGTGCTCACATGATCTGGCCTTAAAATCTATGAAAGAACTATTAAACTTTGACTGCACTCAGGCTAAGAGCAATGACCAAAGATTTAAGAGTCCAGCACAGCATGTATTTTGGAAAACATTTACTGGAACATGTATAAGAATATGCCCTGTAGTTTAAACCTACAGAATCAATGTACAGTTCTAGTTGGTCAACTTGATAGCAAAGTTCCAGGCACTTTAGATCTTCTACAGGACAGAATACTTAAAAAAAAAAAACCCCAAAACCCTGTAATTCTGAAGGCAGACTGAAGACTTTAATGTAATGCTTTGCATTACAATAAATTACGTTGTTTTATTGGAAATGGATCTATAGACATACACCCCACATTTAAATTAAAATTTCTCAAAGGCAATTCATGTTTACTATGTAAGTGTTCTTCTAGTAGCATTTTGTTCCTTAACTGTAGATGCCTGAGTCCACTGCACAGCTGTTATCAGAGATCAATGGTCACAAAAAGGGCTCCCAGCACAGGAAGATAGCAGCTGAACCCAAGCTCTTCTAGGAAACA